GTAGTAGTAGTAGTAGTAGTAGTAGTAGTAGTAGTAGTAGTAGTAGTGTAGTAGTAGTAGTAGTAGTAGTAGTAGTAGTAGTAGTAGTAGTAGTAGTAGTAGTAGTAGTAGTAGTAGTAGTAGTAGTAGTAGTAGTAGCCGCGCGCCAGGCACCCCAGGGGCCCAAGCGTGCCAGGCACGCCTGGTGCGTCAGATGCGCCCCGTGCGCCGAGTGCTCCAAGTGTGCCGCGCACTCCAGCCGCGCCAGGTGCGCCGCGTTCGGGGCACGTGCAGAGTGCGTCGGGTGCGCCTGCGCACATGACAGCACACGTCGGGAAACATGTCGGCCCCCTCCATCCTGTTCGAAAACCAAGGCCCATCATGGTGTCTGGTGGGCCTGCGCACGGGAGGCCACGCGCCACCACCCCCGCCGTCCCTGTCAAACAAACCACTTGACAGTGGTCGCGGGATGACCGCGCATGGTCCAGATTCAGCCGCGGGGTGCATGTGGTATTGTTTTTGTCAGGGATGGTGACCCTGCGCGCAGCAGGGGATATTCTGTGAATAGAACCCGTGTAATACCCTCATATATACTCCTTATCCTCACCTCTCCTGCGCCTGGCCGTTTGGGCTCAGGTATGGGGACAGATCGATCAGACCTTTGATCGTGCAGGAGGGCAAGACATCTATCTATCCCTCCATCCCTCTACCAACGGATCAGGGGTTCTGTACCCTTGTACTTCAACCCCATACACAGGTTATTAGCCCTTTAAACCTCACTGTTCATCGAACCCCACGTCGCGACCTCGCACGCGGCCTCGATGGAACCCAAGCGGCGCATGCGCCGTAAGGGGTCCATCGGGGCCTCGCGTCCGAGCTCTCCGACGGCGCGACGGCTCGGCGATGAGTTGGAGAGCCTTAATGCGGACTGCGTTGGTGTCCCAGGTACCCCCCCCCCAGCTCCGACGGACCCGAGGCGCGGCTAGCTGCTGAACTTCACCGCAGCGCAGCCCGCGGGGGGACAGGAGAAGGAGTAGGAACTGGAAGGAAGGAGTTTCACACGCCTACCTTCGATCCTCCATCTCCTCCTCAGTCGGGAACAATCCCAACTGCGTCAGGCGAAAGCCTCACTGGTCCTGATACTCCAGGGCGCTTTCGCGCTAACCGCCGATGGACCTCAGGTGCTGGTACCCCCAGCCCTGCGACCGTTCCTGTTGCGGAGCACGTAGCCACCTTCGAGGAACTCAGTAGACCAGTGGCGGCACAGCCGCAGACGCAGTATCCCAAGGTATCATCGGATGAGACACCACACACACATGGTCCGAGTCGCAGCTCGTCCGCGCGCAACCGTCGTGGGGCCCCAGGCCCATGCGGCGAGAGTAGGTCGAGCCCGCGTACTGCCTCTCAGAGGCCATGCACTCCCCGCGACAGGGGGCACAGGGAAGCTGACGCTCCCCACCTCTCCATCTCAGACGACCAGCTGGCGGAAACGTCCGCCGCAGGTGAAATAGCTGAGCTCAGAGACCAGGTTGAAACCTTCGTGTCCAGGCAATACTCTGGACTACTGCAGAGCGTTCAGACGAACGCCGCCGATGCCGCAGCCATACGCCACGATCTGGACGGCGCCTTAGGGATCATTGATTCCAGGATCGCCGAATATCGACGCATCATAGGTGAACTGCAGTACCAGTTTGATCGTGAGGTGTCACACTCAGGTGAACGAGCGGCGATGGTCGAGAACCTGCGCAACTACCTCGCGCAGATGGAGCAACAGCTTGTGCTCATACGCGACACAGGCGTTTCAGCAGTCAGGATCTTACATGATGAGATCCACGACCAGCTCCGCAACCGACCAAAACCAGCCGAGGCCACCGACCTTGGCGACGTTCAGTCTCAGATCAATGATCTTCGATCCTACATAGACCACACTACGGCGACGCTTCGCAACGAAGCACACGCTAACTCGTCGAACCCTATCGACATGTTGCAGCGTACTGAGAGAGTCATCACTCAAAGGCTTGATGCGACCAACGCTGTCGTGCAGCCACTCGCTAACCGGATCTCTGAAATCGAGCAGCGTTTTCCTGATGTGCAGGACGCCCTGGCAGAGTTGCGTGTCGGACGAGCCCAGACTGGCCAGCTGGATTCTCCTCCTACGGTTTACGATTTCGCCCGCCTCACTGACAGGTTGCAGGAGGTTGAGAAGGCGGCGGGCCACACGCAGTTGGAGCTCTCCCAGGTTATTCGTGAGAGAGATACTGAGAAGGTACGTGTTGAGGGGCGCCTCGCACGTCTGGAAGGCGAGCTGGAGGCACAAAGCGCCCGTCTCCGAGCATGCGAGCAACGACTTGATCGGTACTCACAACGTTCTCGGGATACTGATGAGTACACACGCCAAAAGGTGGCCCAAATACACGAAGACATGACGAGCTGGACGAATCAGCTGATCGACCACACCAACGACACCAATCTCCACCTTCGACCTGCAACCGACCTGCACAGGCCGACGGCAGCGTCCGCC